AAGTGCAGATTAACTTACCATTCGTGGATGCACTAGCTCAGATGCCGAAGTACGCGAAGTTTATGAAGGATTTGCTCACAAACAAGAGGAGGCTGGAAGAAGCGTCTACTGTGACGCTTAATGAGGAGTGCTCAGTTGTGATACGGACAGATCTGCCGAAGAAGCTTAAGGATCCAGGTTCTTTTACTATTCCCTGCTTTATAGGAGATCTTACTTTTGATAGGGCCTTGGCTGATTTGGGTGCAAGCATTAATTTGATGCCTCTTGCTTTATATGAAAAGCTTGCACTCGGTCCACTTAAACCTACACGTATGTGCATTCAGTTGGCTGATCGTTTAGTCAAATATCCCCAGGGGATTATTGAAGACGTGTTGGTTAAAGTGGACAAATTTATTTTTCCGGTAGACTTTGTTATTTTGGACATGGATCAGGATCGGGAAGTACCATTGATTTTGGGCAGACCATTCTTGGCAACTGCCCGAGCACTTATTGATGTTGGAGACGGTAAGCTTGTCCTCCGCGTTGGGGATGAGTCTGCCACCTTTGACATGTCCAAAATAATGAAGAGGCCTTGTCAGGATAGTGGTGAGTGTTTTTACATGGATGTGGTTAATTCTTTGGTGGAGGATTGCATTCCTAACATGCTTTCTGATGAAGCCTTCTTTGATCTTCTTTTGGATGATAGTTTGTCAGCAGAGGATCTTGAGCTCCTCCCTAGTTTTGATTGTGTTATGCTTGATGGGGAGGAGGACTCAAGTGATGCTAGTGATGTGAAGGGGAAGGAAGATGACTTAGATAAGGTGGAGAAGGAAGACTGTCAGACTGATTCTTCTATTGTTACTCCTTCTCCATTAAATCTAAAGCCTCTTCCCTCCCACCTTGAGTATGCGTTTCTAGATGATAGTTCTGACCTCCCTGTTATTCTTGCATCCGGGCTTGAGCCATCCCAAAAATCTGCATGTATTGACTTACTTTGTGAACAAAGGGAAGCTCTAGCCCGGAAACTTTCTGACATGAAAGGAATCAGTCCTGTTTTCTGCACTCATAAAATTTTGATGGAAGATAATGCTAAACCGGTAGTGCAGCCACAAAGGAGACTGAATCCTAATATGCAGGAGGTAGTCAGGGAGGAAGTCATCCGTCTGCTAGATGTAGGAATTATTTATCCAATTTTAGACAGCCCTTGGGTCAGCCCGACTCAGGTGGTTCCCAAGAAAGGGGGGATGACTGTGGTTAGGAATGAGAAAGATGAGTTGATTGCTACACGTACGGTCACCGGATGGCGGGTTTGCATTGATTACCGAAGATTGAATGCCGCCACCCGGAAGGACCACTTCCCCCTCCCCTTCATTGATCAGATATTAGAGAGGCTAGCAGGGCATAAATTTTACTGTTTCCTTGACGGGATGTCGGGATACTTCCAGATCCCCATAGCCCCCGAGGACCAGGATAAGACCACTTTTACATGTCCATTCGGTACCTTTGCTTATCGGAGGATGGCGTTTGGATTATGTAATGCCCCTGCTACCTTTATGAGATGCATGCTTGCTATTTTTGGGGATTTCATTGGGAAGTTTATGGAGGTTTTTATGGATGACTTTTCTGTGTATGGTGATACTTTTGATGAGTGCTTAGAGAACTTGAAGAAAGTCCTGGTTAGGTGTCGAGAGGTGAATTTGGTACTTAACTGGGAGAAGTGCCACTTCATGGTTAGTGAGGGAGTGGTCCTAGGGCATAAGATTTCAAGTAGGGGGATAGAGGTTGATCCGTCTAAAGTTGATGTGATTTCTAAATTACCTCCCCCTACTTCGGTCCGTGCCATTAGGAGTTTTCTAGGCCACGCAGGTTTTTACCGTAGGTTCATCCAGGACTTTTCTAAGATAGCCCGACCCATGACTAAGCTCCTTGAGAAGGACACACCGTTTGACTTCTCAAAGGAGTGTTTAGAGGCTTTTGAGTGTTTGAAAGAGAAACTGGTCAAGGCACCGGTGGTAGTAGCTCCGATCCTGACTGGTCTTTGCCTTTTGAGATTATGTGTGATGCTAGTGATTTTGCAGTAGGAGCCGTTCTTGGGCAGCGTCGAGAGAAACATTTTCAGCCTATTTCTTATGCTTCAAAAACTCTCGATAGTGCCCAAGAAAACTACACTACCACCGAGAAAGAATTGCTTGCTGTTGTGTTTGCTCTTGACAAGTTTCGTCCTTATTTGATTCTGTCTAAGGTAGTGATATTCACCGATCATTCTGCTCTTAAATATTTGATGCAAAAAGTGGATGCTAAGCCTAGATTGATTCGGTGGATATTATTACTTCAAGAGTTTGATATTGAGATTAGGGATAAGAAAGGGGCTGAGAATTTAGCGGCTGATCACTTGAGTAGGTTAGAAAACCCCTTTCTTGATTCCCTAAGTGAGAGAGATATTGAGGGAACTTTTCCTGATGAAAGACTGTTGCGGATCGTTGATGAGGTGCCTTGGTTTTCTGACATCGCCAACTATCTTGTTGGGGGTGTTGTTCCTTCTGATTATACACCTCATCAACGAAGGAAATTTTTTGCTGATTTGAAGTATTATTTCTGGGAGGAACCATATTTGTTTCGTATTTGTGCTGATCAGGTTGTTAGAAGATGTGTTCCCCTGAGTGAAGGAGTTGAGATTCTCAAACATTGTCACTCCGGACCGACTGGGGGACACTATTCTTTTAACCGGACAGCTCGTAAGGTGTTGGAATGTGGTTTCTTCTGGCCCACGTTGTTTAAAGATGCTCTAACGTTTGTGCAGGAATGTGACAGGTGTCAACGCATCGGGGCGGTTACCAAAATGGATGAAATGCCCCAGAATTTTATATTGGCTTGTGAGGTATTTGATGTTTGGGGCATTGACTTCATGGGGCCGTTCCCGGGTTCTAAAGGTAATAAATTCATTCTGGTTGCTGTGGATTATGTCTCCAAGTGGGTTGAGGCTGAAGCTCTGCCCACTAATGATGCTCGAGTTGTGATTCGTTTTCTGAAGAAGTTATTTTCTAGGTTTGGAGTGCCACGAGTATTGATAAGTGACAGGGGTACCCACTTTAGGAATGATCCGATGACTCGCCTTCTGGCAAAGTACGGGGTCACTAATAAAGGGGGCGTCCCTTATCACCCTCAAACTAGTGGCCAAGTTGAGAATTCAAATAGGGACATTAAGACCATCCTCGAGAAGACTGTTGAGACCCATAGGAAGGATTGGTCTGATAAGTTAGATGATGCGCTGTGGGCACTGCGTACAGCGTATAAGACACCCATTGGCACTACTCCGTTTCACTTGGTTTATGGGAAGGCGTGCCACCTTCCGGTAGAGATAGAGCATAAGGCCTACTGGGCCTTGAAAACGTTGAATAAGGATTTGTCTTTGGCGGGTCGTGAACGGCTTTGGAAGCTCAACGAGTTGGACGAGTGGAGGCTTATGGCCTATGAGAACTCTAAAATTAGTAAGGAGCGTACCAAAGCCTATCATGATCGGCACATTAAGCAAGGAAAAGAGTTTTGTAAAGGGGATCAAGTTCTGCTATTCAATCCCCGAATGAAGATTTTTAAAGGAAAGTTGAAGTCTATGTGGTCCGGTCCTTTTGTAGTGAGCGAAGTTTTTCCGTATGGAACTGTTGAGATTGATCATCCTGAGAAGGGTCGTTTTAAAGTTAACGGCCATCATTTGAAGAAATACTACGGAGGACCGCTAGAACGCGAGCGTGAGGTGACCTTTGTCACGAATTTGGAGAGATGAGTGCGTAGTTGCGTCGGGCAAACGACGTTAAAAATAGCGCTTCTCGGGAGGCAACCCGAGCTTAATTTGTTTTTGTTTAGTTTAGTTTTGTTGCTTTTCAAAAAAAAACCCACAAAAACCACAAAAAAAAAAAATCGATTTTTGCCAGGCACGGTCGTGCCTGAGCAGGCACGCCGTGCCTGCAGAAGGGGAAAATCACGCAAGGCTACTGCCAGCCAGGCACGATCGTGTCTGGCTGGAGGCACGATCGTGCCTGGGACGCGGGAGACGCGTACCCACTGCCTGCCAGACACGATCGTGTCTGGCCTAGGCACGATCGTGCCTGGGCAATTTTACCGAACTACCCCCGCGATTCAAATAACAAATCCAGCCCCACTCCCCCTTCCCTCACGCGAACAGAACGAAACCCCCCATCGCTCCTTTGTCTCCCTCGACACGACCGAACAACCGAGACCCACCACCGAAGCCCGCCGCGACCACCGCACACCACCGGCGACCGCCACACCAACCGGCGACCCCTCCCCACCTTCTCTCTCTACTCTAATCGGCTAGCAAGGTATCCTCTTCTTCCCCTCTCCTTCTTCCACCATTAATGGAGGTCTTTCAAAGCTTTGAAAATTTCGAATCTGCATGTGCTCAAATCTTAGGGATTATGCTTTCTTTGTGTTAATTGAGGCTTGAATTGATGTTATTGATGTTCTTTGTTGATGAATTTGCCTCTTTTGATTGAAATCCCTAATTTTTGAGCTAATTTAGCCAATTTAGGGTTGAAAATTGATGAATGTAAGAACAATTTGGGGATTTCGCGCTTGTTGCTTGAATTAAGAATTGAATTGTTGATTATGATGTTGAAACTTTGTGGTTAAGATAATTTGAGCATGAATCCCCAATTTTTAGGCCAAACTTTGTCTAATTTAAGAATTGAGTTCTTCTCCTATTCTAATTGATTTTTGCTAAATTCTTTTGGGAAAAACTCCATTCTACAAACAATGTTGTGATGAATATGCTTTCTTGGGACCTTGTTTATACCGTGTGTCGTTGAAAATTTGAATTCTTATTCAAAGCACTCTTCTTTGATAAAAATTCAAACTTTTCAACTATTCTGGTTAAACTTGGGTTTGTTCTACTATGATGATATTTTCGTTTGATTAAGTGCTGACGGGGCCGTTGCTGTACTTTGAAAATTTGTTCTAACACTTGGAAGCCCCATTGGAATTCTTGTTTTGATTTATTTTGACAGATGGCACCGAGGCAAAAGCACACTAGGGGTGGAGGTGCCGGCTCTAGCCGAGGCAACACCGGCCGGTACCAGCCCAAGTTCCCGCAACTGCGGGACGAACTGAAGCATACAGAGCTACTGCAAAAGCCTATGGGCACATTTTACTACCCGGATGAGGATTCACTCACGGCAGCAGGAGTGAGGGATGAAGTGATGTTTTTATTGAGACGAGGGTGGTGGCGACACCTATTTTTTGGGATCCGTGATATCACATATATAGAGATTACTTGTGAGGTGCTGGCCACGTTTAAGATGCCGAAGACCATTCCTATTGAGGACAACACCCGGCCTCTCATCCGGTTCAGAGCTTTTGAGGAGGACCATGCCATCTCCATGGCTGGTATGATATATCACTTGGGCTTCACGGGGATCGAGGACAGCGGCCAGCATGAGGTCCCCTTGACAGACTTCCCACCCGGCGTTGACCGTCAGGCATTCTGGGAGTCGATCACGAGAGATGGCGGGATTTACACACCGAAGAAGTCCCCTAGCACCCTACTTTACCCCCGCCAGTACCGCATAATCCATACCCTCCTTTCTTCCACTGTCACCGGCAAGGCCGAGGTTGCTGGTAAGGTCACTCAGACTGACCTCTTCTGCTTGTACTGTATGATCCACAACCGCAGGCCCCACATGGGCTATCTCCTTGCCAAGCTCTTTCACCGCCAGGCCACAAACCATATCAAGGCCATCTTTGTTGGTCCTTTCATTACGAGGATGTTGACGAGGATGGGGTTCGGGGACCGATTTCTGAGGATGGAGGAGAGCTCCAGTTTTGCTGCTTTGACCCGGCTCCCCGAGGTCAACACTGGCGTGGCGAGGAGGAGGACACAGCCGGCAGCACCAGCAGGAGGAGGAGGACAGCGAGCTGATGATGATGATGATGATGATGATGATGATGATGATGACGTTGATGATGATGATGAGGTAGAGATGGAGGAGGCTGCTCACGAGGCTTCATATGATGCACCCCCCTACGGCACAGCTTTTCCGGATTCTTGGGCGGGGATGCATGCGCATCAGGATGCCGTCTATCGGCAGTTGTCCGCTGAGCAGCATGAGCGGTTCGATCAGATGCGCTTCGAGCAGCAGGACTTTTACAGAGAGATGCGGGAGGACCAGGCACTCCACTATTCACAGCTCCAGTCTCAGTATACCCGGATTGACGAGAGACTCACCTCTATGGAGACTAGCTGGAGTTCATTCTTCGATGCCTATCCACCTCCACCCCCTCCCGAGTATTAGATGTTATTTAGACTATCCTCTGCTAGCATCTGTATCATTTTTACTGTTGGATGACTGTACCGTAAACACTATTACACTCACACTCTCACTCTTTCACATTAACTCTTTATTGTGTGCTTTGCTTTGTGATCATGATGTGTGCAGCTTAGTAGATGAATGTGTTCGTGCAAATCAAGACCCAGTTCTGATCCTGACTGACCAACGCGATAGGGGAGTTTCCATGATACTTTGTACTCAATGCGTAAATGTTAACTTGAGTTGATTTTGAGCACGCGTGACCCTTTCCTCTTTACCCCTAGAACATAATGCATATTTGGTCATCGAGGGCGATGCCAAAGTTTAAGTGTGGGGGAGTGAATTGGGCATTCGGGCAGTAGTTGTCACATGTGATTTGTTAGAGTTAGCATGCGCAGGTGTTAGTTGTATATTCATAGGAAATTCATGCAAAATTTTTGAAAACTTTTTCTTTAAATTGTGTCTTTGTGAGCTGGCTAGCGTTTTGACTATGCTTTTAGAACATCTTTGAAGTGTTTAGGCTTAAATTGCTTGCACTATAATCTAGTTGATTGAAAGGATGAAGGCATTAGTCACCCATTGAATTTTCCATTAAATCATCTACCCCACCTGAATAAGAACCCTTTAGGAGAAGCCATTTTGAACCTGACCGTTCTTTGTTTACCCAATTAATTGAGCTCCATAGCCAAATGGCCTGTTTCCTTACCCGTGAATATTTCTGACTTAGTCTTGATGTTTAGGGAATTAAGGGATAAATTTGTTAAGTAAAGGGAATTTTGTGTAGGAGCCATTTTTGGCACTGTTCTTATGCCCCAGATGGGGTAAGAGCAGTCATTTTTTAGGAATTTGATACTTTCGAGGATTGCATTGTAGGCATGGATTCACTTTAAATTAATGAACTTTAATTGCAATTTTTCCTTGGTGAGGCCGAGATTAGAATGGGGTAATGTCTAGTGAGAATCCGAAAGGTGAAAAATTAATATAGCTAGACCTCTTACTTTGCGAAAAAGGGAATGGGAGCCCCGGTCAAAAAGCGTAAGATGAGACTTGGGTATCTTTCGAAAGAAACGGCGTTCTCGTGCCAACATGACAAGGAAAACTAAACTTAATTAATGAACTTGGAGGCTATTGAAAAACTAGCTTTAGTCCTCCGCGTACTTCAAGTATACGTCAAAGCACAAATGTGCCGAGACGGTTTAGCTTAGTTGTACACCATGTCTACTCTTTGCATAGGCGTAAATGTTTGTTTCTAATTTGTGGTCTACTGAGTTCCTTGTTCCTAAAAATAACCCTGAAGTTCCTAAATACATTAAGTCTTTGTTAGAATATTCCTATCTCTCAAAATAAAGGGACTTTTATCATTAACCATTCACCATCACATTCACAAGTCCTTCTGATTAGTATCTAGCTTATTTGTGTATGCTGTCATTACTTGGAGGATGTTGTGAATAATTGTGTCAAATAGTTTAACTTGAGTACAAAGGTGTAGTTTAGGGAAGAATTTTCTTGATCTAAATTGTCTGTCCTGTGAATATCCCTTTAACTACGTGTGTATGCTAACTATTTTAAATTCCGTGTGGTGATTATCGTAAGTCCCGTTGTTCGATTTGCTTGAGGACAAGCAAAAGCTTAAGTGTGGGGGAGTCTGATAAGTCCGTATTTAGACACGCATTTGATGCGTGTTCGGTTCGGATTTTGATGATTTTTCTGGCTTTAAGGCGTTGCAAGTCTCAATTTTGGCTCAAGTTGTGTTTAACAGACGTTGGATCGAGTTTCATAGCATTTGGAGTTGATTTGAAGAAGTTAGAGTCCGGCAATCAGCGCTTGAGAGGCATTCGGGAAGGATTTGAAGGCATTCGAGAGAGATTTGGAAGATTTGGGGGCCACCGGGAGATTCACGACGAAATTCTGGTGAAGAAAGAGCATTTGGATCGACGTCGTAGGCATTCGGGAGCATTCGGAACGAGAAACGAAGAAAAACGGTGAAGAAAAGGGCAGGCACGGCCGTGCCTAGGTCAGGCACGATCGTGCCTGCCATCTAAATCAACGTGAAGCTACTGGCAGCCAGACACGATCGTGTCCGGTGCAGGCACGATCGTGTCTGCATATTTTTTACGCGTCCCTTCCGCAGGCACGATCCCAGGCACGATCGTGCCTGGCATCGTGTCTGGCCCCGTTTTGTCCTAAATCAGCTCAAATTCTCCTGTTTTCTGTAAATAAGGCCATCATACCCACTTTTGGGGTTACGAACTTTGGAGAGAGGCCTAGGGACGAGTTTATCTGCGTTTTTTACGTTGTTTAATCCAAGAACCTCGGATTCTTTGTAAGTTCAATTCTTTAATTAATGACAATTATTTCTATTCATCCCAATTCTGTTGATTCGTCAATTATGAGGCGTGAGTAGTTTAATTAGGGATTTGGGGTTGATGAAGGGGTTAATCATGATTGATGGCTAGATTCTTGTCGGTTTAATTGCATGAATGCCGTTTAATTTGTGTTTGAATAATTTAATTGATATCTCTTGTAACCTAGACTGCAGCTAGAATTACAATTGCATGTAGAATGAATTAAGAGAGATCTAATTTGTTCTAGGACACATTCACACACACTTAATCGTTCGCTAAGAGATTAGTAGCGATTAAGGGGCCGTAAGCTCGCTCGTCTTGGCAATAATTTAGGATCCTGTCGCATGAGAGATCAGCCTGGTCCCCTAAATTATTGTACTCTACGCCGCGAGAGCGGTAAGAACTTAGTAATGATTAGCTAGGCTCAATTAAATTAAATTCATGTAATTAGGCCTGTTCTGCCAGAAATCTGGTTAACCCCGGAATCAATTCCTGTTCCCTTAGTCGTTAATTAAGGAAAACCAAATCTTTTTATTCGCTCATTAGCATTAGTTTTAGTTTAATCAATCCACCAATCTCGCACAATTGCATTTTTATTTTATTATTTCTTTTTAATCGCTAAAGTTTAGTTAATCTTTATTTCCCTTTTGTCCGTCCCTGTGGAGACGATACTCGTACTTTCAACCACTTTACTACATCCTTTTTAAGTGCGAGAAAACACACATCATACGTAGTATACGTTTACCCCTGTAAGTACGAATTGAAGTACTATTCAAACTCGGACTCCGATAATAACCTTTGAGATAAACACTCAACTTCCGAAACTTGAGCTTGTAAGACAATCGGATAAGTTTAAAACGACCTAGAACCTTCACTCTGCAGCTATAAATAGGAGCCTTGCGATCAACCTACGCTGCACAAAAACCCACGAACTGCAACTGTTAGGTCCCTGTTTTCTATTCTAGAATAGGTGTATGGAAGACAGATCTATGAGGTGAAGCTTTCCATTGATGTGTAGAAGGTTTTACAGAATGATATGAAAAACTTAGCGTAGAAACCTTTACACGAGAATAGGCTCTGCGGCTCTAGGTATGAAATATCTGGGAAAGCTTAACCTACACATTCTCCAAAGGGGCATATTTATAGCCTCCTTAGAATGGTAGGGTTTACAATGATATGGGCTCTCCTTTTTAGGAGGCCCATTCCTAATTTAGCTTAGTAGCCTTTTCTATTTAAGGCCTATTAAATACACAATAAATACTACCAAGAGGCTAGATAAAACATTGATCACAATACATGAAAATATCTCTAACAATCTCCCCCTTTGTGATCAGATGTTCTTTGTCAGCTCTTGTGGATCCTTCTGCCTCTTGTAGTAGTTGCTTCGCAGTGCTAGAGCATGTTCATATTGGCGCGGCATTCTCCTCTTTTCGAGTCGAGCGTTGATTGCGTCTAGCACCGCCTTCATTCTGTCAAATTCTTTCAATTTCTTCTTTCTTTGGTCTCAACTTCGTTTATCTTCTTGGAAAGGCTTCATGAAGAAATCCTTACAATCTCCCCCTTGGTGTTATTTGTTCAATTTGTTCTTTGATGCTGGGAGTTGAGGGATTCTTCAAAATCTTGCTTTTAATCCTTGCTTTCCAGAAACTGCTCTTGATCAGCTTGAATGAAGTCATATGGCGCCTTCTAGAATGAATGTTCTGAAAAGATCTAAGCGCACAAGGAATTCATCTTCAATATTTGATCATCCGGCCTCTGTATCCTCCAGAATGTAGTCTTTTCTGACTATTCGATCGTGAATGCTTTTGAGGAACAATTGTCGGTAGCACAGCGGAAAATGATGGTTGACTTGTGAGCATAGCTGACCATTATATCTGAAGCTGACTTGGCAATTGATGAATCTGAAAGAGTGGAGAGCCGTCATTTTTTAGCTGGAGGAGAGAAG